AATTTGAGGCACTCCAACAGTGAAGCACTTCTGTAAGCAAAGGTGGTGCTCGTAGGTCTGGCTGGCTCTGTCTTTGGAGGAAATAATGATGTTAATGCTCAGAACAAGTCCTGAGGTGGCTTTAAACCTGCATCACTCCCATGGCAGAACACCCCAGGACCACTGTGCCACAAACCCAGCGCCCATGGTTTGTGGGCTGCCCAAACTGACAACCCCTGCACAGATTTCATCTGAAATCCTAACATTTCTGTGTTAGAAAGGGTTGAGGATGATTAAAAGCTTGGTCACTCGACACACGTCTTGTGTAACGTGGTTTCACCAAGAGACACACGACTCAGTCCTTCAGACACCTTACCTAAAAAAAAAAAAAAAAAAAAAAAAGATTATTTATTATTTAACATGTTTAAGTGGAGGGTATTGATGACTCTTTCCCCATGCTGTGTCACTTCTTGTCAGTTCCTCTTAGGTCATGTAAGAATTTCTTTTATACACATTAAAACAGACTACTGATCAGTGTGGAAATGAACCTGTTTACCGTACTGTTGTAAATATTGTGCTTTATATTCTGTATATTAGCTTCTTTTAAAGAAAAAGACTGAACTGATGATGCTAATGTGATCTCTGGTGAGGAAAGGACAAAGGATGAACCAGCTCCCAGGCTTGCTCTGGAGTCGAGATGTAAATCGATTGCCTCTGCGGCTGGAAGTCTGTCCTGGGAATTTGCAAGCAGACCAAATGGAACACGCGCTTCCCGGCGCTGGATTTTGGACCATCAAAGGCTTCAGAAATCTAATCCGCTTTAGCAGGGGCACCGAGAAGCGCCCGCGGCGAGAGCCAGCAGCGTTCGCACCCCTCTGAGTTCCACCGGCTTATCTCCATTTCCCTTTTTTAGTGCCAAAACCCACCCCACAGACTCCCTACAGCTCTGGCCTCCTGTCCCGTGTCCGTCCATCTGTCCCGGACCGTGTCCCTCCGGTTCATCCTTCGGCGCTGGACCCAGCGTCACCCCGGGGGCTTCTCTGTGCCAGGGGGACGTGTGGGAGCTTGGCGATGAAAACGGGTTACAGTCATTCTCTGGTTACAAGGAAAAAAAAACACACAAAAAAATAAATACCAAACTCCTGATTAATGGCAGTGTGTGGTAATTCTTGGGTTAGAAAACACCTTTTTGGGGCAAAAGCTGCTTGTGCATTTGGATGGGACACACACCCCTCTCCCTTCTCTCGGGTCCCAAAAGGCTCTAAAGCTACCCTAAAATTTGGGATCTTTCAGCTGCTGCTTTTAAAATGCGATGCTCTTCATGACATAAAAATGGCCCGTACATAAACCAGCCACCTGCTGGCCCTGTAACCCCATTTTGGGTTAAAATCCCCTTTTTTTTCTTTTTTTTGTTCTTTTTTTAAATTTTCAGCCCCTTCCAGCTCCTCTTTCTCTCCCTAAGGCGCTCCCCGCCGTCAGCCCCGCGCACAGGCAAAAGTGGCTGTTTGGTTTTTTTTTTTTAATTTTTTTTAATTTTTTTTAATTATTATTTTTAGCTCTCCCCACAGCCCCGCCCCCTCCCACGTGCTACGGCGGG